TTACGAAAGCTCAGCACGTAGTCATTGGAGTCGTGTAATGTTGAGCCGTGGTCTTGTTTACACAATTCAACAGAAACAAATCCAAGCCAACCCTTCTTCATTATGCAGTGAGACTTCTCTTCATATCTCAAAAGTTTCGTTTTTATTTTCTTGTTAATATGCCCTATTTTTAGATTATATTAAAAATGCTGCCTGGCGAAATTTCGTGAAAATAACTTCTCACAAGCGTTTTCGCCGCCTAAATCAGATATATGCGTTTACAAATAAAATATAAACTGTCATCAAAAAATGAAAAAACGCATATATGACTAATTTTAGGGTAATTATATTGAAGTCAAAAGTCTAAGCTAATTGCTTTTGTGTGTATACTTGATGTTGATGTATGATTTGCTGATGTTAAAAAGCATAATCGTAATCACAGTTGTTAAGAGCAAGGTGTCATGCTCTCTGTTTTGCTCACAGTCTCAGTTCGATAGATAGAAGCGGCCTGACCTCGTGTTGCCAGGACGACCTGATTGGACACAACTTGTCCCAAGTCAACTGCTATAATAGTTACGTTAATTTCCAGCGTTGTAGCGTGGACTTGTCTCTTTCACGAGTTGTATTTTTGTGCTAAGAATGATAAGATGCACTGATGATGATGACTACGATGATGGCGAAACGTCCGGAAATGTACCAAATTCACGGTCCACTACTGGCAATTAGCATGGCTACTATGGCAGAGGACTTTGTTCAAGGTGCTTCCAAACAGTTTGGCGTAGTAGCTTTCTTTAGTTACGATATTGTTTAGTGAACCTCTTTATTGTTGAGCTGACTTCCATTTCGAGTGAAAGTGTGCCGTGTAGAGATTGGAAGGTCGGTTCCACCAGAAGACGACCAACTGTCGATTGGCTTTACGGGAACATTCATGCTGACGCTGTTTCCGAGGTCATCTGCTTCCATTCCCGTGCGTCATGTGGCGAACATCATCAGAGCAAGTTGCCATCTTCACAACAAAATGCAAGCCAACGGAATGGAAGTAAGCTCAATAATCATGCAAGAAGCGACTGCTCGAAACGCAACTTTTCTTCGCATAAACTTCTTTATTTCTGGTATTTACTAACATGTATCGTCTACTCAAGGCTTACACTAGCTCGTTGTTGTCTTCCATCTCCAGGTCCAAATTGTCGCAATTTTTCGAAAACCTCTCATTTCGACGCTGGAGCGAAGCGTAGTAGCAGAGCATGGCCTCTTCAGCCGACGGCAGGATGATAGAGACTGCTGTTGCGATCACAAGCCAGATCGCCTGCAGAGAGATCTGTAAACAAAATTCCCAATCAGAAAAACATTTTTCTACAATTGCTGGAGAAGGGTACTGTTAATCAGCACACTTGAGGCATATCAATTCACATACACTTTTCGCTCGAGCTATCGTTCTCCCGCATTATTTACTCAAACTTAATCAGCAAATGTCTCCAAATGACTTTTGTGACATTCATGAGGTTGTATAAAGTGTACATTTTGCAACTGCAGCCCATTTTCCCATCGGTTCAATTAATTTTAAACGCTTTATGCTTTCACTTCTCACTTTTCGCATTGGAGGAGAGTTTCGAGACTGCCAGTAAATTAGTAATATGAGATGTTTTTTTACCCATCCCGAACTGTCGCGGTTCGAATCCCGCTGATGCGAGGTCGAAACTGCAGTCCACTCCAGTCGGGATGAGAACAACTTTTGGGAAAGCAAGGCTGTGTGAAATTGAATGGAAACTTCGGCTCAACTCATATGATTGTGGGAAAATTCTAGTACCAATCGTTCATCATCTTAAACGAAATAGGGTGAATACATCTCATATTCCTTTCTCCCGCTGTACTACATTACATTCGGTTTGATGAAGCGAATGGAAGAGGTTCGTATGTTGGTCTCACCGGCAGCTGTATGACGATTGTCTTGGAGCCATAACTATAGATTTGTGCGAATAGATCCTCGACGCGATCCCGATTATTCGCTGCTAAGCTGTCCTCCGTCATGTGACCGACATGGTCAACACGGGACAACATGTGGAGAGAAAAAAGTTGTCACCTTTCAACCTACCCACTTCTTATCGTCCAACTTAGTCCACTTACTGTGCTACATGGTACCATTCGTAAAGATCTACAAACAGCTTCCGTGGAGGCTAACTTTTGAATCTCTTCCAGTCGCCCCTTCAGACGAAATGGAGAGTACTTCAGCATCAATCCAGTAAGGACTCCTCGAAACTCAGTTTTTCTACATATTTTCTTTTATCATCTTTATCACTCTTATCGTTGCTGCCATTTCACTTTTGCTCATTTCTACAGCAATCATCCCAACCAGTTTTACTATCATCGGCATCGATATTCTTTGCCACACTTGATACAGACAGGTTCACTAAATTGAGGCTATGAAGACCAGAATGGTGTGTCAACTTGTTCGTATTGTCATGGTGATCTAGAGGAACCTCCAGCGTCGGACCGTGGATTAAGATGCTGGAAGTCACGAATACTCTGGCGGTGAACACGGAACTAGGTACGTTTCACATGAAAAAAAAACAAGTTTGAACCAACACTTTAAAGCTAAAGGTGTCAGCGACCAAACAGACGACCACACCATTCTTGGTCTTTATATCTATCCTCTAAAAATGACGTTAGTCCCGCAGTTATTTCATAAAAAGTGATGCTCAACAATGTGATTATAAACTAGAGTATAAATCCCATTTATGCTTTATTTACTCGCCCAAAACATTTTTTATATATTTGTTGGTAATGGCGATTTCCGTCAAGATCATCGATGAAGTCTAGACAGACCGGACGAGACCCATTGCCTCCACCGAATCCTCTCACATTTTCACCCAGTCGTCAG